AATAGGTAAATCTGTAGAGACCGAAAGCAAATTAGTGGTTGCCAATGGATTGAGGAAGGTGGGTATGGGGAGTGATTACTAAATGGGTACCGACGTTCTCCTGAAGTGATGAAGTACTGAAACTAGAGAGAGGCAGTGGCTGCACAACATTGTGAATGCACTAAATGCCACTGAATTGTACTCTTTAAAATTAATTAAAGTTAATTGTGCCCTGGCCTGTGTGGCTCAGTTGGTTGGGTGTTGTCCAGTGCAACAGAAGGTTGCCAGTTTAATTGCCAGTCGGGGCACATGCCCAGGTTTTGGTCTCAATCCCTGGTGGGGCTGGTGGGGAGCCTGTGGGAGTTAGTTGATCAATGTTTCCCTTTTACTTCAATGTTTCTCTCTCTTTAAAAATCAATTAAAATATTTTTTAAAAACATAGTTGATTGTAAGTTATATAACTTTCACCTCAGTTAAAAAAGTGATTTTTTTTTTAAAAGCTATGGAGAAAGAATAGTGAATGTGTCTGTGTACCTCCGGGATACCCCAACAGTGCTATCCTAGAGAGAAATCTAACATCACAGCTGTATATATTAGCAGCATGGACTCTAGTGCTGGCCACCTGGGCTAGAATGTTGACTGCCTCTTGCTAGCTGAATAAACTAGGCCAACTTACTTAGGATCCTATGCCTTAGTCTATTCACCTGTAAAATGGGGGAAGTATTATTATTATTATATGATGACTGAAGATCAAATCAGCAAATACATGTGAAGTGCTTAGAGCAGGACTGATTTTTGGTAAGCGCCCACTAGACCTGAGCCTTTCTTGCTCACAAAGATTTAAGGATTTCAGACTGACCTCATCACCTTCTACCACCACTACCTCCTCAGTGCTCTGCCTTGTTTATGTTTAAGCTCAGGGTATATTTATGACCTAGGTAAGTGTGGCCATGACCAACCCTGGCCCTGGGGGTATTTAAACCCCATGGAAGGATAGCTTACCCAAGCAAGTGCATTTATGACAGCCCTGAGTTCTGGGACCAGAGTTGGAGATGGAAAGGATATGGGGAAAGTAACAGCAGGAGGAGAAAAAGCAGAACTCTGGCCTGCTGCGCTCTCCGGAACATCCAAGTGTGAGCCTCCCACATTGTTTAGCCACACTAAATTAAAGGGGTTTCTCCCTTCCAGCCTCCCTCACCCCCACAGCTGTGGCCACAGATGATGCAAGAAAAATTAGTTCTTTCAATCTTCAGGAATTTTCATATGGTTTCTGTAAAGCTATTTAGTTAATATTTTTACTTCAGTGGACTTCCTTTTTTACTTCAATAAATTTATTTTATAGGAAATTTTATATTAGTACTCCAAGTCAGGGACAGCCATCTGTTTTTCAAATAAAGTTTTATTATAATGCAGCCACACCCACATGTTTACTTATTGTCCATGGTTGCTTTTGGACTCCAAAGCAGAGTTAAGTAGTTGCAATAAAGACCTTATGGTCTGCCAAGGAAAAAATATTTACCAACTCATTTTTTGCAGAAAAAGTTTGTCTACCTCTGCTCTAAGTGAAAACCAGTATCATTTAACTCGAACAGAAAAGCAAAATTTAATATATTAGAAACAAAATATTATCAAATTCCAGCTAGATTCTGTTATTTTCACTCAATAAATATTGTCCATTCCATTCGTTCATTCATTATCTGTTGAGTACTTGATCTAAACACCTTAAAAGGTCTTGGTAACACCGAGGCAAACAATACAGAAAGGTCCCTGATTTCATGGGCTTTATGTTTTAGTGGGAATCAAAAGGTACTGAAAAATAAGTATTAAAAGTTATCCAAAAAATAAAGTATACAAGTTATCTTTGATTTCCATGGTAACAGAAAATAACAACACAGTACATAATAGAAAGACTTAGAAGTGGATAGAGGGTTCTTTCAATTGGGGGGTCAAGGAAGAGCTCTCTGAGAAGATGACATTTGGTCACAAACTCCAGAATTGCTAGCAGAGAGAACAGGAAGTACAAAGGCCCTGAGGCAGGAGTGGGCCTGATGTGTTTCTTCTGGGCAGCTGGATGCTCAAAGACAGGCAGCCATCTCTGATATCATCCCACCAATCAACACACATTGGTAGTGACTGATTTGATTTGTCAAGATGTATTTGCTATGGCTGCACACCCACCTCACCCACCTTATTAACCTTTGGTTCATTAAGCTACTTGAGGGCTGGGACTAAGGCTTGGCCAAGGTAGGGGGAAACTCTGAGTGAGCACTGCTGCTCAGCACAGTCCCAGGTCCAGCAGAACTGTCCAGGCCTGTCCATCTTGTGCTGTCACAAGGTGGGCTACCTAACAAGGGCGTGACCTTGAGTGAAGTGGTTCTCTGCAGCTGAGGGTGACCCTTAAGGAACTAACAGCTGGGCACCATCTGCTGACTGTACCCCTGCAGCTGGGCAGCAAGTCCTTCCCAGAAGGGGCATCTGGGCGACCATCATCAGGCCATCCATACAGGTGAACCATCTTCACTGAAGAGTGTGTTCCTCTTTCTTACCATTCTTCCACCCCAAATCCCAGGCCCACCACACATTGCCCATTCTTCCCTTGAACCTTGTCCTCAGCTGCCTGGAAGGGTAAGAAAAGTTAAGTCCAGCTAAGGCGTCACATGGAACAACTTACAACACAAAGGTTTTTCTTTGAGGACTCAAAGACGGAAGCCATCAGGACCCAGTAAGTAAATCAATGTGTTCATTAACTCATGTACTAAGAAATTATGAGTCATATTACTGTGAAAAACTCAGAGCATCTCAGACAACATGTGCATTTGGGGGATGTGAATATTTTCTTGTGCTCTTGGAAACACACTAAATAGACACCCACATTTTAAGCCCACTTGAGAGCCCAGCTCACCCTGAACTCCCATGCCTCAGGCCTTTGGGTCACCAGTGGCTGTACAGGGCCCCGTCAGTGAGGGGAGAGCCATCTGCAGTTACTCACTGAAAACCATTGGACCAGGTCAAAGGTCCTCCTTAGCTCAGAAAAAAAGAGGAAGAGAAAGATTCCCCCAGAGACCCCCCCGGACACCTAAAAGTAGGAGAGCATGTACCTGTGTCAAAATCCCACTCTCCCTGTCAGGTTCTTGAGGGGATGCTGTAGTGGCAGAAACCTCTCTTCACAGAAATACTTTGTGAACCTCTGATTTAGGCCAATCAGCTTGCTTTAAAGATGTGCTGGTCTGGACAGCCGATGCTTATGATATCTTCCCCCGTGCTCCCCAATCAAGCAGAGGCTCATGGAAGTAAGGTAACTTGTGGGAGACACACAGCCAGCTCTGCAGGGCTGGGAGAAGAACCCCAGTCTCAGGCCCCCTTCTTCCCCTGTCTTCCTTATCACTGTTTAATGCAGTCCCATCATTCTTATGGTCGATCCTTCCAACTGCTTAGCTCCATCTGGGCTCAGTGCTAGGCCCTGTGACTCTCCACCCTGGGCCTTGCTGGCCTTCAGAGAACTGGCAGTGCTGTTCCCCATCACATTGTCAGCATCACTTCACAACACTTTCATTCAGCTGTTTCCCTCACACATCTCAGAATTGACCTTCATCAACAACAGGAGTTTTTCCAGGCCCCACCACTGCCCTGGGGAGCCCCTAGGGTCATCATGGGAAGACTCTGAAGGTGAACAAGAGAGGTCTCCACTTAGCACCTGGGGAAGAGCCACGAATGTGTGTTAGCTGGAAGCTCTGGTGAACACTGGGAAGGCAGGAGGTGGGCAGACAGGGATGGGATTGGACAGGGAGGGAGCAGCTGTCAGTCCCTAGACCCTCTCCAGCTGGCCTGGAGGAGGCTGTGCATGACTCTCATTGTCTTCTGTTCCCAGAGGGGGGCTTCCTCAGCCATGTTGGGGGGTGGACATACTCCCCATTCACACCCACCTACAATAAGAACTGACTGCTTCCTCCAGGAAGCTCTGGAGGCTGCTGACAGAGGAGCCAACTACTAATTACTTCTTTGCTATCAGCCCCTAATCCTGAGCCCCACACCAAGCTCTTTGGAAGATAGAAAATGGAATCAGAATGTAAACTCAGAGAGTTCAGTGCCTCTTGGTGGGATCCAGCAAAAAGATGATGTAGGTATGAGTGAATGATGGTCAGACCACAGGCCAAGAATCAGACCCCCTCAGTGGGTGGTCTTTTTTTTAACAGGGCCTCCTACATCAGAATCTGTGTTTTAAATCTAGATTTCTCAGACCCACGGGTCAGAGTTTATGAGGAGGTCCCAGGAATCTGCACTTTATCCAGCTCCTTCAGTTATTCTAAGCTCAGTTAGGCGTGAGCAGCTCTGATGAGACAGGGCTTAGTTGTGGGGCCACCCAGAACAGGCCAGCTTTGCAAAACTTCCATTTTCTTTTCTATAAAGGTGGATTTAATCATTTCTTAAAAATTTCTGGAGATTTTAGAATTGACAATGCACCTTTCATTTGGTTCTCAGGGCCATCCTAAGATGCAGAAAGAGACTATTACCATCAGGGGAGCAGGGGGTACCAAGGAAAGGGCCTAGATAGGGTGGGCATGGAGTGGCAGGTAGAGTGTGGGCATTCGACAATTGAAGAAGCCCCCTGAAAGCATGCATCACCCCCCTAACCAAATCATCGCAGTGAAAGGAAGAAGGAGTGAGGAGGTTAAGAGAGCCTCCTGACAGGAAGTGAAGAAGCACCCACAGATAGGTGACTGGAGAGTCACAGCCAAGATTTTGAGAGTCAGTGGTACTGAAGGAACTGCAGGAGGCAAGAGGACTTTCCCAGGGAAAGGAGGGGCAGCCACTGTGGGGGTGGATGATGACAAGTGAGAGGCAGGAGCTGAGAGGAAGGAAGCCCAGTGCTGGAGTGGCGGGCTCTGGGAAGCACTGTGAAGTCCACTTCTTTGCATGAGCCTGGAAGGAAGGGAGTGGCAGCCCTGGAATGGGTGTGAAGAGGTCGCAGTTCCTGAAGGAGACATCTGTCAGTTGTCAGCTGTTATGAGCCAAGCTGTGCAGGAAAGGCTCTGGGATGGCCATGAGCCCAGAGATCCGAGATGGGAAGTGATGACGGCATGAATCATCTGGGAAGGAGAGAGAAGGTGGCCAAGGCATGATTCCTTCTTCTCACACCCTTCTCCTGGTTATCTCTTTTCTACTTCCTTTTTCTGCTTTGTTCCAATGGCCCAGAGCCAAAAGGCTGCTCCTCACTCTCATGGAAATCCTCTGGACCCACTGCCAATCTGCCCACCCAGCTCAATCACATTCATGAAGAGGGGTGAGATTGCCTTTGGCCTTTGAAAGCTATAATTTTTATAAGGCAAAGGAGCATGATACAGTAATGAAAGAGTAAAAAGTGGATCAACATGACAGCCTTAAAGCAGGACTTCAGTGTTGCATGATTGACAACCTTTATACTTGTAGGGCAAGAAGGCACCTCAGAAGCCATCAAATCTTGACAGAGTCCTCTTCATAGATACAATCTTTCAATTTCCCAGCATCTACCCTGGCTGTCCCATCTCTTCCCTTACCTGACTTCTCCAAACATGAAGAACATCTGTTACAGCCCTTGGCATATTACTATTGATCCCATGAGAGGGAGGAGGGTCCTTTGATTGCACTCTTCCTTTCCTCCGAACTCTTAGAGCAGCAGCTTGGTTCTGGAATTGACCAGCGTTCCTAGGAAGGGAGAGAGGGAAAATAGTAAGACACCAAACCAAGGTTTTGGATGATTGTGCCAGACTTGACATGCTGAAAGCCAAGACAGGAGGGAAAGCTCAGTCCCTGCTTTGTTGTGCAGTGGATCCTTGGGGCCTGTGAGCACGTCCACCTGGGGCAGACAGCAACAGCCTGGCAGATGGTGCAAACACACATATACACCTTCAACCCTCTGGTACCCACAAACAAATGTGCTGTGGGCACCTGCTTTATTTTGCTCCCTTCTCCCCATCTACATCCATAGTATTTGCAGGAGACTACCTATACTCCAACTGTTTCCCACTTCTACCACCATCACCTCTCTGCCCCAGGTTTTTTCCCCTTTGGATTAAGAAACATGATTTGCCCAAACCTGGAGTAGGATGAAAGTACTGGAACTCACAGCTCCAGGAGCAACCACTGAGGGTTGGCAGTTAGTTGATAAACTCCTGGCTTCTTCATGAGGTGAGCACCTCTCAGAGGGTCCCCAATAGGACTGAGTGCAGTTGCCTACACTAGCAATCTGCTCATTAACACACAGCCTTTATTGACTTTCTTCCCTTCCCTGTCCCAATTTTCCCCTTCCTTACCATGCTTCCTGGAATCACCTCATAAATCAATTCTTGCACTCAAATCCTTGATTCAAGGTATGCTTTGAGAAAACATAAATTAAGATAGTATGAGACTCAAAGAATAAAATATGGGGGTTATTCATACCCTCCTAATGAAGTCTGTTACTATATACCCCTTTTGGCTATGCCAGGGAAACAGCCAACCACCAGAGATATGGAGAACTTCTTAAAAGGGAAAGGGAAATGGACCATTGCTCAGCTCTAAGACTGTTCATCAGGAAGCTCTGTTGGCTGCAGAACTCCAGATACACAAAGGTATCATTTCACCTGCCCTGGACCATTTTTACCTGGCACAGGAAGGCAGAGTGATTTTGTCTAAGGCAAGGAGAAGGTGCTCCGAGAGGCCAAGTCAATCCCAAGGCATGATTTCCATTATAAGTGCCTCATCTTGGTGAGTTTGGCATTGCCTGTCCCAGACCCTTCAAAGACCTAGGAGCAAGCTCCAGAAAACCCTGGCAACCTGGAAATCACAAAACACTGAGCTTGGGTCAAGAGAACTTTGTCTTGCTTAGAAAGAAAAGAAACATCTTGAGCTGCTTTCCAAAGAGCCCCAAATTTGAAGACAGCCTATAGCCAAAAATGCTGTCCTTCCCTGCACATAGCACATGGTCTGTCTTCTAAGCACTTGGGTTGCCTGCTCTCTGGACTTCCCTTCTTTTTCTCATTCATCTCTCTCACCAGTTGACCTCTCCTCTCTCAGCCCATCCCAGCCACTTGGCCACTAAACCACAGGAGATGAGAAGAAATTTTAGGGGAGAAGCTGGGTGCCAGTGGGTGAGCAATCCCATCAATGAACCCATGGTGGGGAGGTGAGTTCCCAACATCCAGGCCAAGAGCTAAAAGTGGATGGCTGGACTGAGGGTGAGGGTGGCTCTCCTTGATTCTGAAACCCTTGTGTATTTTCAAGGAAATTGTATCCATATGCTTCTGATTCATTTACTCATAACTCATCAAAATGTTATTTGGTAAGAGCTATTTGAAGTCCAAGAAGCCTTGTAACAGCCTGTTTAATAAATCAAAAGAGTTTTGGGGTGTTTTTTTTACTCCCCTTTATTTTTCAGAAAGGGGATGGGGTTTTTTTTTCTGCTTTTCTCTCTGGAAAAGCAAGTGGTCATATCCTATATAGTGATTCAGGCCTATGAAACTCAAATCATTGAAAAGACCAACAAGAGACAGAAAGACAAAAGTCCAGGTATTGAGCTCTGATCTACCCTAACCTGGGTGATCTTCTCTAGATGGCTCGTGTTCTTGGAGTTTATGTAATCATCCAAACTCCTCACATTGCAGACAATGATGCTTAAAATCAAAGGACCCTCATAGCACTGAAAGTTCCTGCAATTACTGACTTCTTTGTTATTACCTTCCCACCATCTACCTTTCCCAGACATCAGTAAGGTAAATTCTATTTTTAATGCAAATCTTTAAGGTGAACAGAAATTCAAAGGAATGTGAGTGTAGCAGAGGCTAAATGCAATCATTTAATAGGTACTAAGGCTTTAGTCTCCAGAATCAACTGAACCTCAGACAGAATAAGAAGACATGGCCTGAAACCAAGGAACCATCTGGATGAAAATAAAGGCATGAAGAACTGACTGTTGGGGACATGAAGTATCTTGCTTCCTGCCTGTCCTAAATAAAAGTCAGACTCACCTTCTCATTGCCTCTCTGACCTATTAAGTTGATGATTAGCTGCGTTCCTGGAGGCAGGAGAATGGACAGGTTGACCTTTAGAGGACCCTTGCTCACCCCACAGCTTTTACAAACCCCCCTTCCCCAGCCCAGCTTAGCTCAGCAGAGTCCACTAAGAACAGAGGGCTATTCTTCCCCTTAAGACCATGGACTCCCAGGGATGAAAAGGTCAGATGCCTGGGGGCAGCCCACAGTTGCTGGTGCTTTGTCATTCAGGGTGAGCACAAAGCCAAAAGACTAACCATGGCTCTCCCAGCTGGTGAACTTAGCCCCCAGCCTTTCTCCCTCATTCAGTCATGGCAAAGACTGGGTTTCTTTGATTATTCTGGCTACTGAGCAAATAGTTGGGATACCATGTATGAGAAGAGCAGCTTAGATTTTGGATGACTTTACATACTTAGAGTGGGGATGGAGAAACTGAAGTAAACTGTGTGCAAGTGAATGTTGCTGTCCATGGAATCCCAGATCCAAAGAATATCATTGCTTACTGAGCATCTAAGTCTAGCAACCTCCACTGCAGAGATGGAATCTAGTCCTGAATCATTTTTACTCTACCATACCAAGTTCCAGTTTATAGATGGAATAATTTCTGTATCAATCAGCACATCTTTATTGAATGCCTAAAGAGAGTACAAAGAAGAGAGATGAGAGAGAGAGAGAAAGAGAGAGAGAGAGAGAGAGAGAGAGAGAGAAGGTGCCCAAAACAGAAACCTCAGTTTTTTTGTAACCTAATTTTAGGAGCAGCATCCAGTTCCTTCTGCTATATTTTATTCACTTGAAACAAATCAATAAGTCCATGTCCAAAGCCAGGGGTTTACACAAGGGTGTGACTGTCTGGAGGCAGGGACCATGGGGTCCACCTTAGATGCTGCCTTCCACATAGCACTAGTCTGGAAGTCACAGGATGTGCCTTTTAGTGGGTTCAGCCTGTGCCACTTTCTGTGCATGAGGCCTCTGGGACCTCTGTCCTATCTGCAAAGTCAATGAGTTAAGATGGTTTTGCAGTTGACAAGAGCCATAACCTGGTGCTTTTGAAGAGTGGGTGACAGATTCCTCAGGTGGCCAAGGGCCTTGGAAAATCACCCATCCCCACCTCCTTATGGAAAACCCTCTTCTCAGCCCACATACATGAAATTCCAATTATGATACTCTTCCTGAAAAGGATACTATTTCTTCTGATCACATCCATGCCCATATTTGACCTTCTTCCCCTATCAGGAAAGCTCTCTGGATTCTAACCTTCATCTGTTCCCCTGAAGCTCTGTCCCTTTTTATTTGTTCCTGGTTTCACTGATACCAGAGAACAGCTTTCCTAGGCTTATCTCTCTAATAACCTTTATGTAATTTACATGTGGAGAACCTGGTCCCTTAGATGCCTTGGTTAGATGACTTCCTTTTAATCGGGTAGATCACCAGTGTCTACTTCAAACATGAGAAGGTCATGCTCTGCTGCCCCTTCCACATGGCTCATTCTCTTATTGACTTGCCCTGTGGTGCTTTTTTGACCATGGACTATGATCCTGATGGAGACAGAAAACTACAAGAATTAAGAAAAGAGAGAACAAGGAGGTTATCTGAAACTGAATTTGACACTCTGCGTAGCACCTAACACATTATCTTGTTGGCTTTTCCCAGCAGACTTCCATGAAAGTTATTATTCTTATTATGTAGCAGACAGAACTCAGGCTCACTGTCCACAGCTGTCCTGTTTCAGAGTAAAGATCAGGCCCAGGTCTGTTTTACATTAAGTTTTGAACTGCTCTTAAGCCTTGCCCCATAGTACCTTGGGTTATTTGGGGGTAAAACAAATCCTTCCTTTAACCAACAAAAAAACGCATTGTCAGAATCGTATAAGGGTAGAATGGATAAGAGCCACCAGAAGTGACTTCCTTTATACTCCAACCTATAAACAATTATCCTACCAATGTCCTCTGTGGACTGAGGTTTTTTTTAGGGAGCCAGACTTTATTAATACTGTGGATGCATCAGGGAAAATGAGAGGTGAGAATATTTAGACTCCAGAAGTAGCTGAGATTCAAAACATCATCGAGAGGAGTGGGTCAATTCTGACCCTAGTCTTCCATTCCCATGACTATGTCCTGGAGGAGAATGTAGTTGGGATCCTCAAGGTTGGCACAGGTGCCGATATAGATCACCTGTAGTCCATCAGCCTCACCTGCCACTTCTCTCCTTGCCTTCCTCTTAGGAGTCTCCTAAGTCAATAAAACGAGCTCCTGCTTGTGCCAAATTCTTTCTGGACCATGCACAGCCTTGCTAAATGTACAAGAATGAAAGCAAAGTTTGTAAATGACCAACAAATTTTACTTACTGCCATAAACACATCAGAATAATAAGAACTGGATAGTCACTCACAGCCTCCCCCAGTCCCTCTCCTTTGACATTGAAAGGGGAACATGAGAACCACCCACAAGGCCAAGTTTGCCTGAGGACCTCCTGAAGCCCACTAATGATGACTCATTGATGACAGCAGCATCCCCAAAGCTGACTTGCAGAATTCTTTCTCCTCCTGCCATACTGACTTAGTGCCCAAGCCCTGCCTGCTAAGTGCATAGAATGGGTTTATGTCTCATCTATTAAGCCATGGGCCCCTTTCAAGGAATCAAGGAACTTTAAGTACCAAAAGTCCAATGTGTTCACTATGATTACAAAGCATCTATCACTATAGGCACTGTATTCTGCTTGTGGTGGGGATTATCTCATTTAATCCTCAAAATAGTCCTTTGAGGATAGCTGTTTTTATCCCCTCCACCCTTTGCAAATGAGAAAGCTGAGAATCAAGGAGATTAAGAGAGAAACTTGCTGAAAGTGAAGCAGCTAGGATTGGGGCCCAGGCAGGCTGACTCAACTGCCATTCAGTGAGCCCCATCATATTCCACAGTCTCAATAAGCACAGCTGGAAGCAGCTTCTCCCTGTTTGGAAAGATAAAACAATGCCTTACACATCAGATATCTTTAAGAACAAGCTGCCTCTGGGAGACCGTGTTCTCCCAAGATCAGGCATCAAATCAGTCCAAGGGCCTAAAAGACAGGGACCTCTTCAGCACCCCTCTTTCTGAGGTAGCACGATTTAAAGAACAGCATTGTACTGGGAAGTTGGCAGCTCACCCTGCAGTCATGCCTCTCCTTCCAGGGAACCCCAAATTTTTCTTGCAAGCAAGGTGACAAAAGGAACAAAGGGCAAGGTGTCCTCTACTTGGAAATGGGAGTCCAGCCTCTCCATGTGCCCTTGGGATCTCCTCAAACCCAGTGCAACTGGGAACCAGAAGAAAGATGGGGAGGGTGGGGATAGACAGCTGCACTCCTGGCTGTA